TGTTAAATACTGGTGTTACATGAAGATTCTAGGAAAACGCTCTTGTTCCTTGACTTTGATGAGTTTGTAGCCTGTATGCAAAGCATTTATCTGTAAGGAGCCAGGCAAGCGAGAGTGTGATCTATATAACTATTCCTGTCTTTCTCCTCACTTCCAGCTGAGTTGAAAGGAGTCATTCTCATCGACAGTCACAGTCAGCCCATAACTTGCCCATCCCTTCCAGCTGTCCTGTTACTGCCAGCAGTGGATGTGTACATGGGTACATAGGCTCTCTACAACCTGCTCCACTATTGCAGCCCACCATGTCCAAACCCAGAGCTCAAAATAGAATCCAACCTCATTTCATGCCTCGTGAAGCTCTAAATTTGCACCAGAGGGGACGCTACATTTGAGATAGATAGTGTGAGTAAATTAGGAAAAGAACAAAGTCTGTTTGTCTGACAAATGTTTTTACTTCTTAGAGGAACCTACAAAGGGACAATTTTACAGGCAAAGGAAGGCCTAATCTTAGAGAATGCCATGAGGATATTAAGTAAGACAAACTTTTCAGTCTGAACACGCTCTGAAAATGCCTGGAACACCTACCGAGCAAAATAACCTACTTTAATGAAGAGATTTCTAAACAATGCTGCAATATAAGGCAGCAGTTGTCTACAAGCTGTCCTTTTAAGGTAATGTTATTTTCAAAAGGACCTGCAATAAACATATACTGTACTTTGCTCTCAAATATCTCATGGTCGGAAGTTTAGCCTGCAAGAAAAATTAAAAGAAATAGTTTGAGGTGTTCCCTTATATTCTATGGCTACCATTTGGTCACTTTGCTACTGCAAGCCTCCTCTTTTAATGCACCTATACATGAGTATTTTTTAAAGGTCACTGCATACTACACGCATATACTGTATATATTGTATTTATGAATGCTAAAGACCAACAAAAGCAATAAAAATACTAATTAATAACTAAAGGGGAAAATAAACTTAAATAAACAGCATCAAGTAAATGCCCCAAAACACTAAACTCAAGATTTGGATTCAAGTGGTATCATTTCAGCTAAAAGGGATTTTCTGCCTTGTGTCCCAGTGACTTTGCAGGCAAAGGGGAAAGTGATGACACTCTCAATTTAAAAAGATGTTTTCACTTTCCAATTTCCCCGCATGTGAAAAGAGTTCCCTAGTATCTTAACCTCCAGCAGTGATATGAAATTCAGTTTCTATAAAGAATCTTATTAGTATGCGAAAAGGACGTTCAGTTCATGTTTTATTAATCATGATATGGGTAGGTCTTATAAGATTTCCTTTCGAATTCAGCAGAAGTAATCCCCAATAGTGGATGGACATGAATGAGATAGTGTGTCAGAATTTCTGCAGCACTTACTGTATTGGGCTGCTGCTTTATGTCACATGTGATTAGTGGATGTCCACAGGTCATTGCTCTAAGTTTTCAATCAAAAATCTTTAGCTATAAGTTTCTGATTTCCAATGCAGAACGAGAAGAATAGAAGAATGCTAAATCTTAAAGACAAATGTGTTTTTTATGATATATAAAAATTTAAGCTCAACATATTCTCTACAGTAACCTTTCCCCAGTGAACAGTGACCTTTTCTTTGATACACACATCAAACACAATCTACGGCCATTTTCAGTGCAGTAAGAGTGTTTTTCTCTCAGGTGGAGTATAATGTTGATCTTCACTGAGAGGAGAATTGATTACTGCCATTTTAGCTGTATCTAGTGTATATCAATCTATTGCAGTGGATGAAACCAGAGGAGAGAGATGCCACACAAGTCTGAGACAAGAATCAGAAGACCTTGCAGGTACATGCAAACAGCTGAGCACATACTGTGGCATCCTTGGATAAAAGGGAAAAACCTGCAGTATAATTCGCTTATATCTACTACAAGAGCAAAACTCAATACTGCTTCGATTTTACATGAACACCACTCAAAGGAAACTGATTCACATGCTGGTTTGGTAAATAAGCAAGGTTTTCATGTTGTATCTAGCTCTGTTTCACATGCAGACTGTTGTGTTCAGGGGGCTATTACAGCATCCTGCATGTTTGTGATCCCTGCAGTCTCATATTCAGGATATTTAGATGATCCATTAAGTCACACAGAAAAGCTGAGTCACCTTTCATCCTCGGCCCGTGTCATGGCTCACTACCAGCTCCACTTTCCCTCTTACGCTGCTTACTCCGGTGTGAAAAAGCAACGTGTGTCAGTGTTGAAAGGTTGGTGATAAATGAAACAAACCGGCATCTCTTTTATTCTACTGAAAAGTACTCAGCTTCCCACCTCGCCTGAAATTGGCTGCCTTCAGCATCAGCCCTCCACTCTCCAGCCATTAGCCATTGCTTTCTAGTTGCCAGTAGGTCCTGAGTAGTCAGGACGTGTGTGTGCTGGAGGGAGCTGAGGGCTGATTCTGTTCAACGCATGGCATGCAACTGTGTGCAATGTGTGACAAGTGGGACTTCTGTCCCCACGAAGCACAGCTGCAACTACTGTAGGTGGTCCAGAAGGAAGAGTGAACAGACGCAAGCTGAACAGCGTTTCCTGAAACGCAAAACGCAACATCATTTAATTGAGAAAAGAAATGTTCCCCTGATGGCCATGCACACAAAAGAACATCTGATGCAACAGTGCAACTCATCATGAAATACTTAAATCGCAATATGACTGCTGTCCACAATAGTATTTTAGTAGATGGACTACACTCTATACCTCAAAGTGGGGCTGTTTTTTCAAGGGAACATTATTTTCTCAACATGGACATTGTGTTTTAGAATTAAACTGACCAGTTATTTCATTTAATGTGAAGTGTCTGGGCACTCTCATTCATTTTGATGAAAACACAACCACTCTAACAAGCATTACTTCCACAACAGCTATTATAATTAGGCTGTCTATAATTAACTGTTATATAAAAGGTAATGAGTTGATTAAATCGGTTCAAAACACAGTTCGTAAAGCTATAATATGTAACATTTGCGCATTAAAATGTGTATCTATGTCATATATTTTGTTGAGTTGTGCATTTACAATATCCCAAATGTATCTAACAATGTTCGAATCCAGACAATTAAGTAATTTCGGCTCACACCCCCTCTAGACTTCTAGTCTGCTGAACAGCGTCAGAGAAATACAGATTTTTAATGTGAAACTGCTTTAATCAGTGTTTTTACTGTTTTTAATCACCTTTATTTTTTAGATGATGGGATCTCTGCAGGTAATTCGGCTCCCACTAAAAAAACAACATCACTCTTCATCATTCACACTCCACATGTTGTTTTGATGTGAGAGACCCAGCTGTGGCAGAAATTAGATATTGTACATTTACGGAAGTGTATAAATTACCTGCATGTAAAAAAGAGTATTTCAGACTGGAGTTTAGGTAAACTAAGCAAATTGTAAACACAAGAGATGGCAACTCCATTTATTACTCTTTACATCAATAAATATCAACACTATTTGTTGATCAATTTTACCAGTATTGATGACGAACAACTAACCATATGCCCCTGGAAGGCCAACTTGGCTTCACTGCAAAACAGCTTTAATTGTAGTTCAGTGTATAAAAATATGTCTCTTACTATTTATCAAAGGACATATACAGTAGTGTGTATTGTGTATTTTTCATCAAATTTAAATAAATAGGCATCGCTCTTCTTGTAACAAAAAAGTAAACATATTTCAATCCTGAGTCACGGCCGCCATATCCCCTCCTTAATAGTCCACCTTATTTCACTATCCCTTGTCGCAGCACCAGAAAGAAAGAAGTGAAGACAAATTCCGATGTGAACAGCAGCTGTCTTGTGAAGTCTGCAGTGTTCAGATGTTATGTATAGGCCTATGAATTTTGAAGCAGCCTTGCAGCTCTTTAATATTGCAGTCTCTCATATGAAATTTACAAAATGTTCCCCCAGCTACCAGCTAAAGATCATGAGCCACTGAATGTATTCCAGATCAGACCAGCGAAAAACAAACAAATGAACAAAAGACTGACAGATACTAAGAGTGTGGTTTGTCCTGACACCGCCAAAGCAAGACAGAGCTCCTACAAAAGATGAAGCAAGTCTGTAATCCACCATCCAGCCAGGCTGAGCAGCTCAGGCGTTTAATTCTGTGCAAATGAACTGAAGTGATGGAGAGAAAGAAAATAAGAAAATAAAGCTGCGCTGACAACTTTTTTCTTCAAAGAATCAACTGCTCTGAGCACTATCTGACTCCAAGCTCAACAAGCTCCACTGAACCAAACATTAGCTTCAGTATCTGCTGCAACCAACCGCAACACTGATGCTTTAGCGACTAATTCTCAGAGTGATGAAGATAATGTGATGATAATGTAGTGAAAATAATGATGAAGATGAGCAGCATCATGGTGACTAACACCATGTGTAACATCATTTTCTTATACATTCTGTTCTGTGCATGGAACAACAGGCCTGGTGTTTTATGCTTTAACATCAAATCTGTAAAGGGTGTGGATGAAAACATTACCTCAAGTACTTAAATACAATTTGGAGGTAATTGTACTTTACTTGAGTATTCCCATTTTATTCTGCTTTATGCTTGACATTTGACACCTTTACTTTGCAGATTCAGATTCAGATTCATAATACAAATATAATCAACAAATAAATGATGACACAGCTTTATTGATCCCTTAGGAGTTAACGCTACCTGGCAGTATGAGCCTGCTTTTAACAGCTGTATTATTCTGAAAGGGACCTTACTGCATCTGTTAACCTACTTTTATTTTTTAAGTATATTTTAAAACTTTGGTAATTGTATGTTAAATTTTAAATGCAGGACTCTCCACACTGTGGTATTACTACTTTTATTTGTGTAAAATATCTCCTTCCACCAATGCCCATGGGTTAATACACATTATACCCTCACATGCAGTTATCAAACATGTGTCCACTAACTCCAACCACCCACCCACATAAAGCATCCAACAATGAACCAGCTGCAGTTCCATGCGTGTAAAACTGACTCACTATTGTAGCTTGCACTCCAAGGCTGGTATCCATAATAGCCGGTGATTCTTAATATTCGCTCCTCTATGGACGCGCTGTTGATGTCCTCAACTGAGCGGGAGGACTTGAGGTCCTCTTTGATGGCCTCGTCCACCACCAGGTACTTGAGCTGTCTGAGCTGAGGGCTGATGTCCGAAAGCCTTCTGGGGCTCACGTCGGGGGACTTGCGCATCCCGCTGGGAAGAGAGAACAAGGGGTTGGCGGTGTTATAAGACAAAGTGAGACCGCGCTTGTCAAAGAAAGTGGAAGCCTGTAAACCTTGTATAGAGTTCTCCTGGGCTAAACCGGTAAAGTCAGTGCTGTATGCTCCACACAGACCTGCGTTAAGGGCCCCTGCAGCGCCTCTCTTGTACAGTACAGAAATCATCATCCTTCACTGGCCCTGCGTCCGCAAAGCAGCAGTGTGAAAGACACTAAGCGAAAGTGACTGCTCCTGCAACTGTTGTATACTATGTACTGTGCAGCTCCTATTATAGGCTTATAGGAATGTGAAACTAATGAATCGATCATGAGTGATTTGTGGAGACGGAGAAGGAACACTTGTGACAGCTCCGGGGCTTCATGTATAAAGGCAGTGGCGCACGAAACTGCGCACAGCCTAACACAGGAACCCATCAAATATCCTTTTATCATGCAGAGGAGATTACTGTCTCCAGCAGGTGAGATAAAACAAAAAAATTATATCGTTGAATACTGCACCTATAAGGCTCTGTAGTATGATGTGCCTGACAAAATAGCACAGTGGTGACTTGACAGCCGTTAAGCTGTTATGAAACCGCCAACATGTGAAAGCAAAAACATGATTTACTGACCCACTCAGAGAAAACCGACGTGTGAAATTTCCCCCTGTGCTGCCATATCCTAAATCATAACCCGTATAATGTTTGTAGTATCTTACTCACAATTACCCAATAAGGCAATTAGGCAATAAACCCTTGTATAAATGTAAACTATCAATCAAATTCAAAGAGAATAACACTTTCCTTAACATTTTTTAACACTTCTGCTTAATTAAGTCGATTTACTTTATCAATGCAACCCGTGAAATCAAGTGCGCAACAGGTGTAGCCTTGCCTCCTCCTATCACCGTGCATTTGTAAAAGTTTAAAGGTCTTACATCGGCATCAAAGAAGTAGGAGGTCCAAGGTAGCACATACAGTCCCGGTGGGGACGTCCGACCCGGTCCCACACGGTGCCCTCTCCATCACCGTACATCCTCAAGGCCACTGAACAGGGCAGCTACTGGGAATCTAAATCCTCTTCAGGGCTGACGGGGAGGAAAGTACCATCATCCTGCTCCTTCTCACCCCTACAAACATATGCCTGGCCACTACACTGCACGCTATTGCAACATTAAAAAGGGTGCGCTCCGCTCTGGATGCTGCTCCGTCCTGGAGGCACTGCAACTGCGCCATCTACCGGATTGACCGGAATTATTATTATTATCAGTATCTGTAAATCTGAAACACAGAGCATAAATCGCACCAGCTGCAATCCTTTTAATCTGAAGCACCAGTGGGTACCTTTTTTATGCAAGATCTATACAAATATATAGGCTACACATAAGACTTCCAATATTTATTCTAGTGCACTCTCTTCTTTGGTGAAATACAAGATAAAACTGTATTTGCTGTCCTTCTCGGGCCCTACAAGAACCCCTGGAGGCCCCCTGAATCTCACTCTGCGCTACTACTGACTCAGCTCTCTCCCTTGTAGCTGACCTAAAGTGTGTGAAAGTTATTTTTCTGTGGCACTGTGGCTCGAAAAGGTCCAATCAGTAACCTTTTAAGCACACGGCAATCAGCAGCAGTCACATTCATCACAGTGAGATCTTTCTGGTTCTTTTCCCTCAACTTGCCACATTCAGGCAAGCACAGAAAGTTTCCCTGGCTGAAGATGAAAAAGAAAACCACACATAACCTTTTAAGTGGGAAGTATGTGTTTTATTTTTAATCTGATAGCACCAATTATTTGTGACTCAGAAGTCAGAGCAGTATCGGGTGCCCTGGGTGGTATTCAAGACTATCAGCCAAAAAAAGGGTGATGGAAATGAGAGGCAGAGGCACATAGAATTGCACAATTGTCTTGTAGATATGTGTATCCGTCAAACAACAAAACCCCTGTTTAAATATTGTGCAATAATTTTATGTCTCAATGCATCAGTCATAATACCTAAGGGCAAGACAGAAAAGTTGTTTTCCTCATAATTCTCTTGTTTTCGTAACTTTTCATTTAAGGTATCTGTGCTGTGTGGGTGTGAAATTAAAGATTTTCATCATGCAGAGTATCACAGAAATACTGACTACACACGTCCAGGCTGTTTTAGATGTTTTTTAAGCACAGGTGTGAAAGATACCAGCTCTGTTACCAGACAACTTTTTCCAGGAACTGTCGCCATGGACTTCTCAACAATTCACTGGCCACTTGGGTTTCTTTTGGTCTATTATTCATAGTCTGCTCTACCACCAGCATTTCAAGATGATGGCAGGGCCTGTGTTTCAAATGTCTGGTTGAACAGAGGCAGAAATGAAACAGTAGAAATCGTTGTTTCTCTTCAATACCCCAGAATCAAAGACAATTACAGGGATTTGATTACATCCAATCAGAGCTATGGGATAATTATGTTGACTGATTAATTAAAATCAAGTAACTGTCTTTATCTTTTGTGTTCAGGTGTGCGAAATGTGAGACAATAACAGTACAAGTAGTAGGGTTTTTTAAAGTCTCTCATGTTTTTATAAAAAAAAGTGAATTTTGTTGCATGAGAAAATGCCCTATAACACTGATGATGCCAAAGACTACATGTCATGCTCATTTTAGCTAAGTTTAGATGAAATGTTGTCTTCTGTCCCTAGGTAAAGCTAAGCAGTACAAGCAGTGAGGATGAGTGGAGATCTACCTTGTATGAATGGGGTAGTGTTGCCCATAGGTCCCAGGTCTGTGGTCCACTCGCTGCATTGCGTCGGCATTACTGTGAGCTCCTGACTGCGGAGAGCAGCACAAGTACACTGACTGTTTTTTTTTTTAAGACAGGTTTTGCATCGATCAATGACCAGTCACAACTCACACGTCCACACAGTGGCAGGGGGGAGACCTGTGCTTACTCATGCAAAAAAGTGGAGTCTAGTCATCAATAAGCGGGTCAGCACCTCCCTTCGACAGTCTTAGGGAGGAGAGGATCAGGTTCATCTTGCATAATGCGCCTCTCAACTTCACAGCTCAGCCAAGGCCAAATCAATTCTCACAGTTCGACCTTCGGCTAAAACTAAAATAATGTGGAAACCTTTCCTGTGGGACACAACCCATAAATATCAGAACAGTTGATATAAAAGGAGGGCTGATATATTCAAGTCATTCACTGCCATCCAGTACATCATCTTCCACTTCAGCAGTCCTCTAATAGCTATTTAATTGGTGCCCCAATCTACAGCGCACTGCGCTCCTTTCTAAATATGGATCAGAGATGGAGTGGGAGCCAAAGCTCAAGGCCAAGAAACATAAAACAGAGAATGATCCAAGTTTTGCTTCATGTTGGCCAGTTATTAAAGTTTTCTGATGATCAATTCATTTCCATGAAACCAGGTCTAATGGGCCTTTTTCACAGCAAACATTTTGACTTAGTAACAGGAAAAGGACAGGTATAACTAATATTGTTAACAGCTGCAGTGCATTTATTCCAGTGAGCCTCAACAGAATGTAGCCATTATTTATGTTATTATTTAAAGATGTGCTTTTACTGTCAGAATGGACCATTGTGAAAAGGTCAGTAGACTTTTCTCACAGCAGATATGTTGACCTGTCAAACAACATGTAACTAATAGCAGTAATATGTCAGGGCTATTGGGTGTTGTGGTATTGTGCACGACTCAGTGGCAGAAGTAACTCTTTAATGGTACAGAGCCATCCTAAATGTTGTTAGTTACACCTTTGCTTTCCCTTTTATGACAAACTCCCTTTTATGAGTCAAAATATCTGCCAAGAGAAGTGGCAGACATTGGAAGGCATTAAGTATTTGTCCGAAGCGTAGCGCTTTTGCAACATTTATTATTTTTATTAACTATCATTTCTATTATTGTCTGCTTTATTCTAAGCTTCTACGTTTTACAATATGCATATGTTATGGATGTTGTTTTTGGTGTGTTAATTGGTAATGACAGTGTTTATACTGTGTTACAAAAGCAATGTATGTTATTGTATCAGTCATAAGATACCAAAAATAAAATACATAATTTATTTCATTATATGAAAGAATATAATTTGTTATAAAAATATATGTATACAACTTTATAACAGGTCCTTTTCTTTGAGAAAAATTAACATACCTTGATGGTAATATTATCAGCCTGTTGTCCAGGTTACTTGTGGTATCTGTAGTCATGGCAAAAGACAGGGATCAAGATTTCACTATCCTTCATGATAACCTCCTCTTTAGCTCTTCTCTGTGCTCTCAAAAACTTATGTAAACTTCAGTGCTTAGTCAGAAACAAAAGCTGGCATGTTAGAAACCTTGATCTAATTTCTCCATCATTTATTTTATTTTTCTTATCCTCCTGTGTCCAGTTTTATACAATTGAAAAAAGTATGATGTAAATCCTCTGGCTTCTCACCATCAATATTTAATGTATCTCACAGCCTGGAAACAGTGTGACAGGCCACTGCCGATTGGCCAATGCAGGAAGAGAAGTGAAACTCAGAGCCAGTAAAAAAAGGGCACATTCATCACTGTGCATTTAAGCATTGTAAACATTTTATTTCTCATTACTCAGTGTTTAATTAGAGCCTTTTGCATTTATGCCAACTTGAAGAGAAATCTATTGCTATTATCCAGAGAGACACATCTGTTCCTGTTGCTGAAGAACACGTTATCTTTTGAAATGTTATTTCAGCCAGGAGGAAACATAACCTTTATGAGATCCGCACCCTGTAGTCCCAAAGGCCTCTGTGATTTCTTTAGGGTATATTTGTTATTCTGCTGCCATTATTGGTAAGGTTGACACACAGCTGGAGAGGGGCCAGAATCTCTGTGGATGAGAGGACCTGCTGATGCTATTATGTGTCAACATCATGAAACAGTTAGCTGCTGAGGCGAACGACTCTAAAAGGAAGAAAAGATTGGCATCTTCTGTCTGCTTTTGCCGGCCAGCCGTGACTGCCCTGATTTCCATTCTTAGATAATCTCTTTTTAGTTTTGCTGACAAATGAAAACAAGACAAAAATATATGATCAAAGTTCTAGAAGTATCCATGCATAGCCCCTTTTTTGTTGTGCTGCTATAAATATTAGAAGACACCTCTGAAACACTAGGAAAATGGCACTTCAAAGGTGCTTTTCAGCTAACAGCTTCACAATAATTCACACAGTATGTGTTATGGAAAATGTTTCTCATTAACACATAGATGATAAACTGTGATCTGTAATAGCCGTCAAATAAAAGTAATCAGTAACTGAACTGGGGTTCCTCCCACCACTTTCAATCATTACTTATTCACAACCATATTGTTATTATAAAAAAAACATGTTTTTATGCATTGTACAGCTCTTTTCATATTCCCCAGTTAGATATTTACATTATTCCTTTATTAGATTGGAAATCTGTCCACTGTTCTTTTCATGGAAATCCTTCTGCTTTTTGTGTCTTAGAAAACGTGCCTGCCTCTCCTGCTATAAATGTCTGCTTTGCATTTTAGTTGCCAATTTTGCCAAAAGGGATTTGGAGTAATTGGACACCCAGTGTTGGCGAGGGAAAACTCTCCAGTTCCTGAAGGTTGTCTGACATTCGCTACTTGAAATGTGGTTGCTTCTTTTGAATATTTATAACCAATTATTTCCATTGAGTTGTGGGGTGTGAAGACTTGGTGAGGACGAGATCTCTCCAAATCAGGCCATTTAGAAGACACTCAGGTAGTGTTAGATAACTGACATTGCAATTGAACTACTCAATATTGCCAATTCATGTGCTTATCGTTACTGGCCACAACATTTTCTTTGCATTTTCACACTCCTACTGAGATTGGAATAACCTGGATGTCAGTGTTAGTGGGATGACAAATTTGAAAAAACTGAAAACCATGCACCGTGCTGTTGCATTCCCAAGAGTTGCTTCCTACATTTCAGCATGACTGATGATGCTTCAACCTGTCATGGCTTCAGATGATCATCATCAGAAGTCTGAACTCTAGGGGAAACAACAGTTACAACAACAACAATAAATAATTTTTCCTGTTCCTTTTTTCGTGTATTCATGTCTTTCCTCCAGCGCCTAATAAACGTCCATGTGCCTTCATTTTCATGAAAGACGAGAGTGAAGATATCACACGCTGCAGAGATGGAGGTTTCAGTGCAGAACAGTTGCAAGAGGTAGAATGCCCATGGCTGCAACATTCATCCACCCCTCCTTCTTTTCTCTCCTCCCTTCTTCTGGTCCTGTCAGTTTGTCTCACCTCTTATACCTTCAAGACAGTTAACTAGGGCAGTGTGTGTGTGTCCTGCTAAGTGTTTGCTGTGTGCAAGTCTGTACCTACATATATACCACATGGTTTTTATGCCAAGAAAATAGCACTGCCAATGCACGGCCACAGCCTCAAATGTATTTGATGCATTAATAAAAGTATATCCATATTATTATCATTTTGAAAATATAATCAACACTCCTTTTACTCTAGCAAAAATGAAAGCATTGTGTTTACAGTACCAAATGAGAGCTGTTAGAGAGTCGGCAGTGGGGAATGTTTGTGCTTGAGGCCTCCTGCATTCCCATAGTCCCAGTGTGTGTGTCAGGATATAAATAGAGTTGCTCCACCACCAGAAAGCGCTGCTATAGGGTAGATGCCAGTCGTCGTCTCTGTTCAGTCCAACCCATCCCCTGTCCTGGATGACCCCTGAGTCCACTGGTGTATGAGGAGCCAAAGTTGCAACAATAGACTGTGTTGTAAAAGCTGAATGTCAAGCATTACACAGTATTCTCCTGAGTGAATCTGCAGTGTGTGCTACTCTTGGGCTTTGCTGGAGTGAGTGTCTTGCATTGCAACTGTACACTGTATGAAACTCAAGTCGCATCTGGAGTTCTTAAAGAATGGCTTCAGATTCGGTGTAATAAAGCATTTCTCTATTTTAGCACGGAGATAAAGATTATTTCAAGCTGCAAGATTTATAAATGAGGCAGATTTTTTTTTATCTTCACAGCTCAGGATCAGGTAGTTTCCTGTGTGCATATGAATGAAGCAAAAAGATCAAATAGCAATATTAATGACAAGAAGCGGCGAGTACATTTCAGTCCTATGTGTAGAGATGGGCCTTCAGGGGATAGTTCCGTTCTGCCCTGATGCACTCCTGACTGACATCCTGGCTGCGCATACTGACAATTGTACTGTGTGTATGTGTATGTGTGTGGGTACAAATTAAAAGTTAATGAAGAAAAAAAAAGCGTGGGGCTTTAGAAGATGTCATGTCCGAAAGCGTATGTGTGCCTAAACTGACCATGTGCCAAAATTGGAAGGTATTTTTCTCTGGAGTCAGCAAATACACTCTAATTCTTTCTGTAACAGTCTTTGCTTGAGAAGGTTTAATTTCCAGCAAGCTCTTTTTTCAGCATTAATTTACGTGTGTAACTCACACACAAACTCAAAAGCTCACAACCTAATTTATTCACATTTAGCAGGCTGCAGATTTATTACAGTCCCCCTGTTCTACACACGCCAACCTGCACCACCTGCCACAAAAGAAAGAAAGAGCAGCTGCAGATTACACATGAAAATGTAGAAATTAAATGTCAGGGAAATCAAGTAATTGCTGTAATAATTTTACACTGCCTCCTGCAGGCACTGAATGATATAGCTGAATTTCTTTTTTACAGCTACTGTTCATGTGTTTTTTATGGTCATCTTTTACATTTTAAACCTGCAGAATGTGCATTTAAAAGAAATACTTTGCAGGCTGGGAACCACTGCTATGAATAAATCATATGAGTGTAAATGTGTGATGAAGTGTGTTTAAATGTGTGCATTAGCTTTTTTGATACAGTAAATGTGCTGGTATTTTATTGTTACATTACTTTCATTATGTTTCTCATTACCTCTTGAGTCTTTCCAAACAATAATGTTTTATGTTATTTTGATGTATCACATTTAAATGAGAAGTTCTTCGCTGTATTGAATACATTCAGCTTTAATGGGATGAGGTCCAGCCAGTTTAATGGCTTTGATGAACCTTACAGTTTGTACTTCACACTTTGTAGTTCTTCAGCTGTCACTATCCAGTGAGGCCAATTAAAGCCCATAAAAAATATAAATGTGTATATACACATTTATATTTTTACATTTTATAGTGTAAACAGGGCCCATCTGATTTAAAAGGACTATTTGCAGTGCTCCAACCAAATGGAGGGGGAACTTGCATGTGGATTTCAGTTGTTCTGTTGTTTTAAGCCTGTTCTGCAATATATTTTTCAAAAAATGTACTTCTAGAAATACACAGTACCCAATACAAATTCAAGCTGATTACGTACTTTAAAGCAAGGATTCTGATCTGATTACAGTGATTTGTTACAATGACGTGTGTAAATCAACAGACACAATTGCTATTCAGTGCTCATTCTGAATATAGCGGATTTGTACTGTATCAAACTGGCTGACATCCTCAACAGCTATTTTCAATTACAGTGCGCCCACAGGTAATTGTGTTCGCACATTGTGCATCCAATAAATACTTTGCCAAGAGCTGCCTTCACCTCATCTTTATTCAGGGAGTTAAACTTGATAACATGGATGTCGGCTCAGGGGTTCTGCAGTGAGAGGTGCCTGCGTGTCAGAGGTAATAACCCTTCTGTTCAATAAGAAACAGCTGCTGAATGTCTCTCTGCCTGTGACCATAAAATACAATACATTGTACCATATAGTACAGTAGTATAGTAGTTGATGAATGCTGAGGTTGAAATGGATCAGATAATCACTGACAGATTTCATATACAGATTTTTATATGTGTTTTTTGATATATACTACAAATGTTAGAGCTCTGTTGGTCTTTGCAGGTTCTCATCATGAATCGGTGTCTTTCAACAGCTAACAATGTCCTATCTCTTTTATGTTTCAAGTAATGAGTCTGATGTGCAAATCATTGCTTTTTATGCTCATATATGAAAGCATTTCCTATTAATCACTGGCTCGGGTATCTGTGACTCTCTTGTTCACCTCCTACTTCAATTACTGCTCTTCTGTGATGGAGAAAAACATGTACTGAACATCATCTATTTCATATTCAAAGATTAGACCATTGACGAAAATAGTGTATTCAAGTACCAACAAGTACATTCTTTCTTTAAAAATGCTACCAAGGACCCACATAATCACATTCACTTCTATTTGTTCTGCTCTTCTTTCCAATTTTCCCATGTGGCTTTGTGTTCAGAAGCCTGGAAATGGTCCACAACTCTCACCCTGATGTGTATTCATTTGAAGTACACTTATATGGTAAAGACATGTTTTATAATCACACGTGTTGCTGCAGGAAGACAGCTGAAACTACTGTCAGAGAATAATACCCATGACCTACCACTGGATCAGCTTGTTTTCAACAGAAGAATTAAAAAAAAGAGTCAGATTAAGTATTGATAAACCAACACTTTATTTAAGACACTGATATTTTACAGTTCATGGATTCACTTCTTTTGCTGGAATGAATTTTACATACAACCTTTGTGCTCCATGGAAAGTTCTCCTGTATTACAACATCGATATTGTAACACCAAAATACTCAACGGTGCATATGAATCCACAGTATGCCCCACAACAACTGAAGAGATAAGTACAGAAACCAATGATTCCAAATATTCCCGACGTGTTAATTCGGTCAGCATATATAAATAGTGTTAGTGTGCTTGTTTGTAATCCTTGACACAATAGTTACTCCCTGAACAGAACTAGAACTACTTTACCTGACAGCTCTCACCTCCAAGACAAACTGTATATGCATGACAAACACTGCCGAAAACAGCAACGTCAAAGGGTCGAAGCCTTGACGTCAATCTATTTAATGTATCTACACATCAGCGAAACATCTTACAGTAAAAGAGAAACCCTAATCTGGCAAAATTCAAGTTCTTGCTTTTCTCAGCAGACAATATGAGCAGTACAAATGCTTCACAGTTCACATGAAGGCCAAACTGGTGGAAAAAAAAGCATGAAATACTATCCCGCTGATCTATAAAACACAACATTAAAGATCAGCGAGTAACTCAGACGATGACACTGTCAACACTACTTTTGCAAGCGGTCACGACACCTCGCCAAAGCTCACCTGTACACACAGTTTCAAATAAACCTGTCATTACTAAACTAACAGAGCCAGCAGAGCAGGAAGGAGTAATGCTGCACTCTGGTCAGGCCTTGAATCTCACGGTAGCAAACAGCATAAAAAAATTACATTCAAGACTTCATAAAAGGCTGTGAGTGTGTCTTGATGTGGCGATGTAGCAGAAAAAAACACAAGATGAGGTCAGAACTTCAGCTAGACATAGTTGAAAGTTGTTGAAATTCATAACAAATGCACGTCTTTCTCTCAAATGTGCTAAAACATGTATATGACAAATAAGTCTGCATCACAGAAGCGTACTACACTGTATGTGTGGACGTCTGTTTGTGCCATAACAGAATATTAGAGGACGGATAATGGCATGAAATGACTAATTCTGTCGCGTTTTTCTTCCAGATACAAATACCTTAAAAAAATAAACAGGAGTGCTATGTCATACAAACTTGCAAGTTTATATCCACTGGTTTAAATTCCAATTATGGACGGTTATCCTTGGTTGATAAGCAGATTAAAAACTGATGTGGTTGATAATCAGAACTGATGTTAAGCTGCACTCCTGCTGCTTGAATTTAAAGTTTCAAGTTTCCCTGGTGTACTGTTTCTAGTACAGAATTTATTTAATTACTAACAAAATATTGTAAACCTTCCTCATGTCATATTCAAAAATATACATTTCTACATTCGAATGATGTAAATACAGCAAAGCAGTTTCTGTTCAACATTTTTCTCTTTTGTTGCTTTGAGCAATTATCAAGCCTTTCACAGATCCTCCACAATGAAAGTATTATTTTTCCATTAAAAATATATCCTGTTTTTACAGATGAAATCTTTGAAGTCATGACTCTTTTCTTTTAGAGAAATCCCAAACGGTTCCTTTTTTGTACTACTGCCTGACTCCAGTACATGTGCAAACTCTTTACTTACTGTAAAATGCAACAGGCCGGTCGGCCCTCTGTGGTTCCCTTTTTAAGCTAGACTAACTTTACTTCCCTTTTCACACAGTCCAGTACACATTAAGTCATTCAGACAAATCAATAAGTTATAGTGCTTATCATCACACATGGACAACTTTGAAATACCACTGCAACATGTTGAGAAAATACACACATCTGCAGACAAATATTTTCCCTCACAATGAAATGTGACAATGCGGAGTGCAACCAGAATAGTTAACACCTTTGTAAAGATGAGCCAAAAATGCTACAAAACATGGCAGTAAGACTACTTACATATAGAGTAAATTGTTTCTTCTCTGCAGTTTCTTAAACAAAACCTGATGTTTTGCAAACTCTCATGGTTGAATATGTCACACTTTCAGGATATCTTCTTCTGAGCTCAACCCACTCATTGTTCATAAATTGCATTGTCTGTTATTTCAGATGCTTTGTTCGGGATCTGAAAACTGAAACCTCTCTTTCAGCCAACCATCTGAACCACATTATGCAATGGAAAAACAATCCCCCTGAAACTTTCAAAAACATTTTAAAAAATCAATGGGAGCTAGTCAGATTGAAAAGAATCCAATAAAGCATTTCAGAGCTTACCCACCAGCCAACTTTGATCAGTTTGTAACAAGCACTGCCGGAAAACATGCCATGGTACATTACAAAATATCCCCTCCAAGTTCCATCTGATAAAAATTATGTAAACCAATTCTGAACGGAAGTCATAATTAATTACTCGAGTTGGTTTTCATCTGTTGGCTACACTTTGGCTCATCTTTAACGGGTATGTGAATTCTAGATGGCACTATACTGTACATCTTAAAACATTTACCTGATTATGTACATTCCACGTACCTGTCAAGCATCTCTATTTATAATATACATACATATTTATGTACTGTTTAGTACTGTTTTAGAATTGTCCCATGTTTCAGTTAGATTTAAGAGACCAATTACGTCCTAAAATGTTCCTAAATATGCAATAAATAATCCAGCCCATAAAGGAATTTAGCTCCTATGAGTCATAAATACAGCAGAAGGCTTTTCTTTTATCGCTGAGTTTGTCTTTATATTCACTGTTAGAATATTAATTTCCACTTATTAATGCACATAAATTTAATCTCTGCTGCATAGCACTATATCATCAGTATTGTGGTTTGGTAAAGGAGATTGTTTGCTTGATCTGAATAGTCTGAACTAGTTTTACTACTAAAATCTGCATGGTCGAGCTTTGCAGAATGCCTATAGCTGAGACTCTACTCATTACATCTACTTATAGACTTGCGTGCATTACTCCCTACTTTCACATTTTTTAGCCTTCAATGGATGTTTGCTCTGTCGATGTTTACTGGATCATGGGATCATCATTGGGAGAGACCAGAGTTGAGACGCTCACAAACGGATGGGTTTTGTCTTCGTTGTGCGCTGTGGCTCTTTTGGACACAGTGGTGAAGGACAGGTGGTCGTGCTCCAAAATGGCGAGGCGGTCCTGCGGCTTCTCCTTCTTCAAGTAGAAAATCTTCCTCAGCTGCTTCAGTTGCTGCAGCTCGCAGAAGGTCTCCAGCACCACCAGCATGACTATCAGACCCAGGATCAGGTAGACTGATGAGACAAACACACGAGGGAAGGGTATTAGCTGCAGTGAGTAGTATTATTAACTATTGCCATCTAAAACCAAACAATAACCCTGGCCAACATCCCTCTAGATTTAAGCATTTAACACAATTTATGAGGTTTTTAAACTGTGGCAACTGCTGATACAATGTTGTTGTATTGATACAGCAAAACACAAAAAAATATTTAGACTCTATAAGTTATTCTATTTGAAAAAACAAAAGTAAAATACTTTTTTCACTGCTCTCCCAAAACCTGTTATTTATAAGCACTGACACAAGAGGGCAGTGGAGTGCGTGCCTTTTTGAATGGTGAGCTAGGAGGAGAAAAGCAGAGTTTAACAGTTTTTAGACAATGCTGGAAATCCCCTGCAAATGTTGATCACTTGCAGCAGTGAAATCTTTCACCTAAAACAAGTAAACTATATTTTGCAGCATGAAAAAGCAGCAAGAAAAACTGTTTAAACTGTTTAAAATATATCTGAACTCAATTAATAAGGCAGAACCCACTGTCTGTACACAGAATAGAGTTATACTCTTATCAAAGCACTTTCACCAAATGACACAAATTGTCTATTATTTCTATCAAATTGTGTTCAGCTATTCCGCTTCAATGCTCCAAATGTTACTATAGATAGTGGTGAAATCATTTCCGATACGGACGTGCAATGTTTCATGAAGGAAGCTGTACAAATGTGTCTGGTGTTATTTGTGCAAACAAACACATTCTGTCACAGTCTTCTCTCCTCCTACAGACTGACACATTGTGCCTACTGAATGACGTCTCTCTGGCTGGTTGGGTATCACACACCCACATACACACATGCAGGTGGCAGCTCACTGGGTTTGAATATTGCTTCTTTTTTATTTCTAGTCACGCTATTAGCCCTGCTGCTGACAGCAAGCAGCACAATCACCCAGAAAATGCAATCAATGCCTCGCTGCTCTCCATTAGGCCGTGGCTCCGTTTTTTTTTTCTTCGACTGCTGTGTTGTCATACCTGACAGATTAATGGGACTTGGAAAATGCATAAAGGATGTCAGAATATGTGCTTTGTCAGCGACACACAGCAGCTTAAACAGACCTACTTACACTTACACAGACCATCATTCCAGTGGTGAAATACCCCTTTAATAGTAAGAGCATTATTGATTGTTTCTTTGTTTTAGCTTTTGTAATAGCAGCATCATTTAAAGTCAATAGTGATGATTCCAAATGTAGGGCAGGTCAGTAAAACTATAAATCTCTCCTTTGGTCTATAACCCTCAAATTGTCATGTCGATATGACATTTAAATGCAATAACTTATTTGTGGTTTTCATGTGAGGCATATAATTTATATTACCAGCTAGATCAGATGAAACAGGTTTATACCTGGTAAATCAAGGTTAAGTTAAATCTAATCAGTCTAAAATAAAACTGTTATCAGGAGAAACTGGGTATGTCTGAATCCTATCTGTGTATTTGCAATTCTGAAGCATGCTTACTATATTGCACATACACATTCAAGTATTACATTACATAAGTATTATACAAGTTTTCACTTAACAAATACACCCAGCTGATTGTGCCACGCCTAATTAGATCAAAGTTCACCGTCATAAAACCTGTTATATGTGAGATTCTCACATCAGTGAATCATTACATTAAGTCTGAGATACTGTGGCTTGTTAACTTGAAGAAATCTATGCCTATACTATACTAGATGTTACATAGTGTGGCAAACTGTAACATATATGGGATTTGTATAGTTTTATTGCTTTATAGCTCCAATAATAAAGAGAGTGGTGTTTTTCCAGTACAAACAAAGGACACACTAATATCCTCTTTGCAACAGGAAGTATTGAGAAATATTCTGAGAAATATGGTCCTGAATTTCGGGAAAACAGGCACTAACAATAACAACTGTGTGCCAGCCCACAATGTATTTGGGCTACTGTTCACCACACGATACTGCTTACAGTGCGTCTCATAGTACCATTACAAAAACCTCTACAAGAATGAAATGGAGGCGGAACTGAATTTGACACCGTACAGCTTCCACCATCTTCATATGACGAATCATCAGCTCTCACCAGTGATGCCCACTTTGTAGAGCTCCCTGAACTTCTGATTCACAGCCTCTCCAGGTACGTAGTCTCCCAGGCCGATGGTGCTGAGGGAAATGAAGCAGAAGTAGAAGGACTCCAGGAAGTTCCAGTTCTCCTCCAGCCCCGAGAAGATGGCGGCGGGGATGAGGAAGAAGCAAGAGACGGCCAACAAGGCGAGCAGAGTGGCGTGAACAATGGCCACCAGTGGCTTGGACAGGCCCCAGTGCGTGTGGACGTACATGACCGGCCTCCGTGTGCTGAACACCATGATCCTTTGCACCACAGCAGTGAGGAAGAGGAGGGTGAAGGGGATGCCAATCACAGAGTAGATGATGCAGAAGGCCTTCCCGCCGTCTGACAGTGGTGCTGTGTGACCATATCCTGTAGGACAACAAAAAAACAACGGTTTCATAAGAAGGCTGCTGCTGGAACGGGTTTCCTTGTATTCAACTGTATCTGTGTGTATTTAACGGAAAAATTAACTATTTCTTCTTATTATTAAACTTCAATTAATACATTACAATGCAGCACTTTGTGTATCAAACGTTGAACAAATGTTCAAACTTCATTATTATAACACAATTAGGAAATTGTCCTTAAAAACATAGCAGCAGTAAAAGAACATCCTGTTTCTTATTCAAATGTCTCTGTCTGTGCTGATTGAGTGAACAGTCTTGTACTGTCTGACTTGATGGCTGTTGTTGGGTTATTTAAACTGTGTTCATACTGGGTAGGTTGGCTGAGCAAAACGTGTACTTTTAAAGCAATGCCCTGTTAACACGTTCACTGAGACAGAAAATAAAAGACGGCATTTCTTAAATATCAGTGTAATCAAACAGAATAACAGACAATAGACAAGGTTCGTGCTCAATTAAAGCCGTTTCAGACAGGTAGCGGCAGATTACTGACAACAGCCCTGAAGCTGATGTGAAACATGTTCACGTGACCTCACAAGAGTGTCAAAAATACCATGGCTCACTAACAAGAGTGTGTAAATGAGGAAATATCAGGAGGTTTGCTTTCAGCTTCTGCTTGGTATCTATTAAAATCAATGCAACTACTTCAGCTAAGAAGAAGATCAATGTTTGGCTGTGGACTGAATTAAAGGTAATGACACAGTGATGTATGTACTGTGTTTTTTTTTTACTGCCTATCTGTCGTAACTGCTGAGTGACGAAGGTAATAGAAAAACAACAATCGACGGCATGTGTCTGATTAGTGGAAAAAATGAGGACCAAACTAATTATGTGTCATTGTGATTAGTAAAAGCAAAAGGTTTGAGACTAAAAATAGCACAGCGTCAGATCTCTATCTCATCTAGATGTCTGTCAAGTCTCGGTTGAGCCTGCAACGGAATCTGGTGACGCTGAGACTTAAAGAAGAAGCGTTTCGAGCAGCCACTGCTGTACACGGTATCTGTGCAATCATGTATGTTGAAACCTCATAGATTATTGCTGCCATGTTGTCAGACTAAAGTTCTCCGGGTATCCTGACTGACAAGCCTCTGCAGGTCAAGTTGTTTTGTGCAATACCAGAACACAGATGACTGTAGTGAAGCACAAAACTGTCCAAATGTCATGACACAAAACAAACAAACCTATTTGTTCAAAGAGTTTGCCTTAATTAGAATACGTGGTTGCCTGGGGGGG